AGCAGAAGGGGTTACTAGCCCACTGCTCCCAGCATTTTAGTCGCCTCGTACGACTCGCATGGCTTACGGAGGAAAGATTCTATTCCACTTCCCCACTGTGATATCAGCACACTTCTGGCAAGACAGCGATTGAATGAATGATAAATCTTCTTTCAACACGCCGGCCGTATCCCACCGAGGCGGGGTGGCCCAAAAGGAAAAATGAAAGTTTCTCCTTTTATATTTAGTAATATATACAGGAGAAGGGGTTACTAGCCCCTTGCTTCCGGCATTTTAGTCGCCTCTTACAACACGCATGGCTTACGGAGGAAAGAATCTTTTCCACTTACCCACTGTGATCTCAGCTCACTTCTGGCAAGACAGCGATTGAATGAATGATGATAAATATGGTTCCATATATGGGTCACCCTACTTTGGGAAATGTGACTGATAAGGTTAAAAAAAGTAAATAAAATTGGGAAGATTTTTTTTTTTTTTTTTTATTATCACACTGGCCGATTCCCACCAAGGCAGGGTGGCCCGAAAAAGAAAAACTTTCACCATCATTCACTCCATCACTGTCTTGCCAGAAGGGTGCTTTACACTACAGTTTTTAAACTGCAACATTAACACCCCTCCTTCAGAGTGCAGGCACTGTACTTCCCATCTCCAGGACTCAAGTCCGGCCTGCCAGTTTCCCTGAACCCCTTCATAAATGTTACTTTGCTCACACTCCAACAGCACGTCAAGTATTAAAAACCATTTGTCTCCATTCACTCCTATCAAACACGCTCACGCATGCCTGCTGGAACTCCAAGCCCCTCGCACACAAAACCTCCTTTACCCCCCTCTCTCCAACCTTTCCTAGGCCGACCCCTACCCCGCCTTCCTTCCACTACAGACTGATACACTCTTGAAGTGATTCTGTTTCGCTCCATTCTCTCTACATGTCCAAACGACCTCAACAACCCTTCCTCAGCCCTCTGGACAACAGTTTTGGTAATCCCGCACCTCCTCCTAACTTCCAAACTACGAATTCTCTGCATTATATTCACACCACACATTGCCCTCAGACATGACATCTCCACTGCCTCCAGCCTTCTCCTCGCTGCAACATTCATCACCCATGCTTCACACCCATATAAGAGCGTTGGTAAAACTATACTCTCATACATTCCCCTCTTTGCCTCCAAGGACAAAGTTCTTTGTCTCCACAGACTCCTAAGTGCACCACTCACTCTTTTCCCCTCATCAATTCTATGATTCACCTCATCTTTCATAGACCCATCCGCTGACACGTCCACTCCCAAATATCTGAATACATTCACCTCCTCCATACTCTCTCCCTCCAATCTGATATTCAATCTTTCATCACCTAATCTTTTTGTTATCCTCATAACCTTACTCTTTCCTGTATTCACCTTTAATTTTCTTCTTTTGCACACCCTACCAAATTCATCCACCAATCTCTGCAACTTCTCTTCAGAATCTCCTAAGAGCACAGTGTCATCAGCAAAGAGCAGCTGTGACAACTCCCATTTTGTGTGTGATTCTTTATCTTTTAACTCCACACCTCTTGCCAAGACCCTCGCATTTACTTTTCTTACAACCCCATCTATAAATATATTAAACAACCACGGTGACATCACACATCCTTGTCTAAGGCCTACTTTTACTGGGAAATAATCTCCCTCTTTCCTACATACTCTAACTTGAGCCTCACTATCCTCGTAAAAACTCTTCACTGCTTTCAGTAACCTACCTCCTACACCATACACTTGCAACATCTGCCACATTGCCCCCCTATCCACCCTGTCATACGCCTTTTCCAAATCCATAAATGCCACAAAGACCTCTTTAGCCTTATCTAAATACTGTTCACTTATATGTTTCAATGTAAACACCTGGTCCACACACCCCCTACCTTTCCTAAAGCCTCCTTGTTCTTCTGCTATCCTATTCTCCATCTTACTTTTAATTCTTTCAATAATAACTCTACCATACACTTTACCAGGTATACTCAGCAGACTTATCCCCCTATAATTTTTGCACTCTCTTTTATCCCCTTTGCCTTTATACAAAGGAACTATGCATGCTCTCTGCCAATCCCTAGGTACCTTACCCTCTTCCATACATTTATTAAATAATTGCACCAACCACTCCAAAACTATATCCCCACCTGCTTTTAACATTTCTATCTTTATCCCATCAATCCCAGCTGCCTTACCCCCTTTCATTTTACCTACTGCCTCACGAACTTCCCCCACACTCACAACTGGCTCTTCCTCACTCCTACAAGATGTTATTCCTCCCTGTCCTATACACGAAATCACAGCTTCCCTATCTTCATCAACATTTAACAATTCCTCAAAATATTCCCTCCATCTTCCCAATACCTCTAACTCTCCATTTAATAACTCTCCTCTCCTATTTTTAACTGACAAATCCATTTGTTCTCTAGGCTTTCTTAACTTGTTGATCTCACTCCAAAACTTTTTCTTATTTCAACAAAATTTGTGATAACATCTCACCCACTCTCTCATTTGCTCTCTTTTTTCATTGCTTCACCACTCTCTTAACCTCTCTCTTTTTCTCCATATACTCTTCCCTCCTTGCATCACTTCTACTTTGTAAAAACTTCTCATATGCTAACTTTTTCTCCCTTACTACTCTCTTTACATCATCATTCCACCAATCGCTCCTCTTCCCTCCCGCACCCACTTTCCTGTAACCACAAACTTCTGCTGAACACTCTAACACTACATTTTTAAACCTACCCCATACCTCTTCGACCCCATTGCCTATGCTCTCATTAGCCCATCTATCCTCCAATAGCTGTTTATATCTTACCCTAACTGCCTCCTCTTTTAGTTTATAAACCTTCACCTCTCTCTTCCCTGATACTTCTATTCTCCTTGTATCCCATCTACCTTTTACTCTCAGTGTAGCTACAACTAGAAAGTGATCTGATATATCTGTGGCCCCTCTATAAACATGTACATCCTGAAGTCTACTCAACAGTCTTTTATCTACCAACACATAATCCAACAAACTACTGTCCTTTCGCCCTACATCATATCTTGTATACTTATTTATCCTCTTTTTCTTAAAATATGCATTACCTATAACTAAACCCCTTTCTATACAAAGTTCAATCAAAGTTCTCCCATTATCATTTACACCTGGCACCCCAAACTTACCTACCACACCCTCTCTAAAAGTTTCTCCTACTTTAGCATTCAGGTCCCCTACCACAATTACTCTCTCACTTGGTTCAAAGGCTCCTATACATTCACTTAACATCTCCCAAAATCTCTCTCTCTCCTCTGCATTCCTCTTCTCCAGGTGCATACACGCTTATTATGACCCACTTCTCGCATCCAACCTTTACTTTAATCCACATAATTCTTGAATTTACACATTCATATTCTCTTTTCTCCTTCCATAACTGATCATTCAACATTACTGCTACCCCTTCCTTTGCTCTAACTCTCTCAGATACTCCAGATTTAATCCCATTTATTTCCCCCCACTGAAACTCCCCTACCCCCTTCAGCTTTGTTTCGCTTAGGGCCAGGACATCCAACTTCTTTTCATTCATAACATCAGCAATCATCTGTTTCTTGTCATCCGCACTACATCCACGCACATTTAAGCATCCCAGTTTTATAAAGTTTTTCTTCTTCTCTTTTTTAGTAAATGTCTACAGGAGAAGGGGTTACTAGCCCATTGCTCCCGGCATTTTAGTCGCCTCATACGACACGCATGGCTTACGGAGGAAAGATTCTTTTCCACTTCCCCATGGACAATAGAAGAAATAAAGAAGAACAAGAGCTATTTAGAAAAAGGAGAAAAACCTAGATGTATGTATATATATATGCATGTGCGTGTCTGTGAAGTGTGACCAAAGTGTAAGTAGGAGTAGCAAGATATCCTTGTTATCTAGCGTGTTTATGAGACAGAAAAAGAAAACAGCAATCCTACCATCATGCAAAACAGTTACAGGTTTCTGTTTCACAGTCATCTGGCAGGACGGTAGTACTTCCCTGGGTGGTTGCTGTCTACCAACCTACTACCTATAATTAGGAAGAAATGGAAAAAAAAAAAAGTTCATGCGAGAGCTGACATAAGTGTGTCATTCCCAAATAGAATGCAGAGTAAATACCACAAAATAAAAAAATAAAGTCAATATACTGTACATTAAAAATACTTCCCAGATATAAGTCCATAAACATCAGGGTAAACAATTTACTACTTCTAGCATTGAGAAATACATTTTTTTTTCTTCAACAAGTCAACTGTCTACCACCAAGGCAGGGTGACCAAAAAAGAAAGAAAATCCACAAAAAAGAAAATACTTTCATCATCATTCAACACTTTCACCTCACTCATACATAATCACTGTCTTTGCAGAGGTGCTCAGATATGACAGTTTAGAAGTCCCTCCAAACTGTCAATATCCCAAACTCCTCCTTTAAAGTACAGGCGTTGTACTTCCCATTTCCAGGACTCAAGTCCAGCTCAATCTATAATAACCGGTTTCCCTGAATCCCTTCACTAAATATTACCCTGCTCACACTCCAACAGCTTGTCAAGTCCCAAAAATCATTCGTCTCCATCTACTCCTATCTAACACACTCACACACATTTGCTCGAAGTCCAAGCATCTAGCCCACAAAACCTCCTTTACTCCCTCCCTCCAACCTTTTCTGGGACGACCCCTTCCCCTCCTTCCTTCTCCTACAGATTTATACACTCTCCAAGTCATACTACTTTGATCCATTCTCTCTAAATGACCAAACCACCTCAACAACCCCTCTTCAGCCCTCTGACTAACACTTTTATTAACTCCACACCTCCTAATTTCCACACTCCAAATTCTCTGCACAATATTTACACCATACATTGCCCTTAGACAGGACATCTCCACTGCCTCCTCACTGCAGCATTTATAATTACATGTATAGCAGAAATAATGATGTAATAGGTCATTGAAAATTAACAGAACACTGAACACTCGCCTGAACTATTGTTTTCTGGGATCTTCCACATGTAGAGATTAAAGTCATCTGAGCCTGAGAGAACAAACTGGTCATTATCACCTGCAAAACAGCAGCTTTTCATTGTGCACGAGTTGTAGTAATGCTCAGCATCGAACTGCAAAAGTAGATACACTATCAGAAATTAAATATCCATAAAATATATGCAAGTACTCTCTACACACTACCTATAACTAAGGTTGATTTTTAACTGAAGCAGAATTAGTATTCCCACACTCAAGTTTACATTAGTCACACATTTGAAGTCTCTTAATGTAGCCGAATTATATTGTTATGCAAGATAAGGTGCTTTGATTTGCTGTCCTTGTTCACTTAGCACTAAGTAGGTACCTAGGTGTTTGCCGACTGGTGTGGGTTGCATCCCGGGGACAAAAATTAAACTAACTGCCCAAAATGCTCTGCATAACCAGGGGCTTCCTATATAGTATGTCACTGATGTCAGCTAGGTCTGTATAAGTTGTATCATGTACAGTGGACCCCCGCTTAACGATCACCTCCTAATGTGACCAATTATGTAAGTGTATTTATATAAGTGCGTTTGTACGTGTATGTTTGGGGGTCTGAAATGGACTAATCTACTTCACAATATTCCTTATGGGAACAAATTCGGTCAGTACTGGCACCTGAACATACTTCTGGAATGAAAAAATATCGTTAATCGGGGGTCCACTGTACTTGTAAAAATAAAGATCATTATTTTTTTTTTCATCAAACCAGCCATATCCTACTGAGGCAGGATGACCCAGAGAAAAAAAAACAAAAGCCTCTCTTTTTAAATTTAATAATGCATACAGGGGAAGGGGTTTCTTGCCCCTTGCTCCCAGAATTTTAGTCACCTCTTATGACACGCATGGCTTACGCAGGAAGAATTCTGTTCCACTTCCCCATGGAGAATTATTGTTATTATTATTTTTACTATTATTATTATAAGGTTATTACAAATTTTATACAGGAAAATTTACTGAATAAATTCGACTAAGCTGCTATATGTATGTGTAAGAATTTGTTTTTTTCAAGAGAATCACTAAAGAATTCTGTATGTCGGTTTGGTTATTACCTAAGACAATAACTACTTCCTTAAGGTGAGAAGAAAAATCTTGGAAGGTGTGTTCTTTAGAAAGCATAAAAAAGGAGGAGGAGGGAGTGAAAGACACCATTATGACCTAACACAACATTAGCTATTCATTAATTTTAATGACCGCATATAAAAAAGCAGTGCTGCAGGAGGCCTACTGGTCCGTGCTAGGCAGATCATACTCAAAACCATCCAATCCTGCTCATGCATTTGCCTAACCAAAACACTAGTCACATTAAAGAAACAGTTTATGACACTCAATAGTCATCCTTATATATCATTAACTCTTCAAAAATGATCTCCACTCTCTTCATGCATATCATGAATTTTCTTCAAATTTGTCAAGGTTTCATAATGCTCTTTCTCCTAAGATTTCCTCCTTATTTGTTTAAAATAAAAGTTTAACTGATTGTTTCACTCTCCTGTTTCTCTGTTGGGTAATTGTAATTACAGTATTAAAATATTTTCTAAAAAAATATTAAGGAACATTCCTAAATATTCACTACAGTCTGTCTAGGTCATTAATCATTTGTAATACCTACATCATATGTAATAATGTTACCTACATCATATGTAATAAGGTATCTCAAAAATAGTCTGAAGATTTGTAAAGCTCTAAGTATCATAAAATTATCCCTATCTTAAACATCACTCATAATAAAGAAGAAAGAGCTAAATCTGCTTTCAACCGAGTCCCTAAAAACAACAACTCTAGCCTTGGAATTTGTTAAATACTTTAAGATTAAACCTGATAAACTATAATAGCTGATCAAAGAAATTTCTGCTCAATGTTAAACTTTGCTCTTAAAATATCACTTGAAACCATGTATTAGCTAAGTCAAAATCATGTACTGTGCATCTCACAAACAAATAATCCATAATACCTGACAGACTGGTTTTGAGTTATGAGTATCGTAAAGGACAGGAGGAAGTCTTCTCCGCAGTGCGATGATCTGGCTACCTGTTCTGTTAAATCTTGCACACATGGACGACTGTGCACATCGCTTTTCTCCATATCTCAACACAGGTCTGCCAATATAAAATAATTGCAAGTACAGTAAAAAACAAAAGGTACCATATCAATATAATATAACCAACCCTATAAATTCCAGTTGGGTTATGTTCCTTGAGATCCTGTGAAATTAGAAACTTTAAATAGTGCAAAGCAAAGAATAAATTTTATTTCTGATTGGGGATCATTTTGTATTTCAAAGAAATATCTATCATTAATTTGGTTACTACTGAAATGCTTAATAATAAGCAGAATAAGAGAGACTTGGGAAATTCATTAAGCCAGCTAAACATTACATAATTTAATTTAATTAATTGGCTGGTTGTACATCAGTAAAAATGTTAGATAACTGAAGCCCAATATATATAATTTGGAGAGTGAGCAGGGTAATATTTTGTGAAGGGATTCAGGGAAACTGGTTAGCCATACTCGAGTCCTGGAGGTGGAAAGTACAATGCTTACACTTTAAAGGAGGGGTTTGGGATTTTTGCTGTTTGGAGTGACATATGAACTATTGTATCTGATCACCTCTGCAAAGACAGAGATATGTGTGAATGATGGTGAAAGTGTTTTTCTTTTTTTCTTTTTTTTTGGGGGGAGGGGGGAATCACCCTGCCTTAGTGGGAGATGGCCAGCATGTTAAAAAAAAAAAAAAAGGTGTATGTAGTGGCAAGTTGGAGGATGTCTGTGTGCGTGTGCATGCATTTGTGTATGTGTGCATGACTCCAGTCTCTTCCAAGCTTTTCTTGAAGCTCTTAATAATCTTGCCCCTTCCATTAAGTTTAAAGCTGAATGGGAATCTAATTCCTTGCTTCCTTTCCTTTATGTCCATGTCCACCGCTCAGATACAGGTTTTTCCTTTTCCGTTTACCGAAAACCTATGCACAGTGGCATGTACATTCACTGCTTTTCCTATCATGCTTCCCCTGTCAAGAAAAGTGTTCTTATCTCCCTCTTTCTCCGTGCCCTCCGCATCTGTGATCCTCAGTTAGTTCCAGCAGAAATTTCCACTCTTCATAATTCGTTTTCCCGTCTTGGCTACCCTTCCCATTTCATAGACTCTGCCCTCTCACGTGCTAAACGCAATTTCTTTTCTCCCAAACTCTCTACTCCTGGGAACTCTTCTATCCTCTGCCTTCCCTACATTTCCGGTCTTTCTAATCTCGACAATTCTCTCCGTCCCTTAGACATCAAGCTTACCTTCTGCCAGACTAACACTCTTCGCACTAATCTCGTTCATACCTCTCCTCCCTCTACAGATGTTCCTGGTGTCTACTTTATTTCTTGCTCCTCCTGTCCTCTTCAATACTTCGGAGAAACTGGTCGATCTCTTTCCGACAGACTTAGGGAGCACAAAAATAGTGTTAGGCTTGCCGACACTAACAATGCTCTGTTCTGTCACGTCAGAGATCATAGCCATCCTATTGACTGGTCCTCTGCTAAAACTGTCTTCCCTACTTCCAACTCGAACAGTCGCCGTCTAGTTGAATCCTCTCTAATACACAACTTTCCTTGTATGAATCTTAGCCCTGGCTTCGTCTCTGTAGATGCCTTCCTCTCCCGCTACATTGTAAAATGTTCCAAACTTCAGAACACCCGTGACTTAACCTGACTCCTCATTTTTTTTTTTTGCATTTTCTTCTTCTCCCTCTTCTCCTTTCCTCTTTCCTTTTTCTCCTCTGGGTTGTCTTTCTCTCTTCTGTCTCGTGTTTCTGTTTCTTCCTTCTTCATTTATTTCACCACTTCCCCTTTCACGCACTTCTGTGCGCTTGCTCTCCCTCTGTGGGCACCGAGCTCTCTTGCAGTGCTCCCCTTCCTTTGTATTTGACTGGCTCGTCCTCCTTTTTCCCCACTTCTACCACTACCACTACTACTACCTCTTCTACTACTACATGTACTACTACTACTACTGATGAAATTAAGACATGTGCGGCGTCTGGTTGTCTTTGTTGTGGACGTTTCGCCATCCAGTGGCTGGCTGGACGACGAAACGTCTACGATAGGGATGCCTGGGTGTTGTGCATGTGTCTTAATTTCATCTTGTCGGTATTATATACCATTCTTGTACTACTACTACTACAACCACCACCTCTTTCTGCCTATATATAGCCGTCCTGCTCCACTTCTGGTTAGTGTGACTTTGTAAATGGTCCAAGTTGGACCGAAACGTCGTCGTAAGCTTCTCTCTTTTATGTGCGGGTTATTTGTGCATCGTTCCAGTCACGGTATAGTGCCTTTTTTTGTTATTTATGTGTGCATGTGTTTGTACATGCTCGTGAATGCACACATCAGTGTGTTGAAGGATGTGTGTGTATGCTCGAAAAGTGTTAATCTGAGTTAATATCACAGGAGTGTTGCTATGGGTGTATACTGGAAGTGTGTTGATGTGGGTGTATATTGTAGGAGTGATGATGTGGGTGTATACTGTAGTACTGCAGCAGGATGAGGGTGTGTTGTCTGTAGGTCTACATAGCCGTAACAATCAGGATCTCACTTTTTATGCAGTCATCAATCTCAAACCAAATAGACTGTGGATGGGCTTACATTGCCAATCACAAATTTACTCATGGGAATCTGAGGATGGCAGCCCAACCCATTTACTAATCCTACAGTGGGCCCTCTCACTATTGCACATGCTTGGTGGAGTTTTTTACTTGTCATGATCCACGATGAGCGTATTTCTTTTCAAACAGGATTGTCTTTTTTTTTTTTAATTAAGTTGGATGTTTTTAGCACTCAGTTTTCTATTATTTATTGGCAGTAAACCCATGTGAGGGACTTGGACATCCAGCAGGTGTGTGTGAGTGAGACAGGAGTGGAGGCAAATGATTTTTGGGACTTGACAAAGTGTGGGAGAGTGAGCAAGATAACATTTATGAAGAGATTCTGGGAAACTGGTTAGCCAGACTTGAGTCCTGGAGGTAGAAAGAACAGTGGCTGCACTCTGAAGAAGGGGTGAGAATATCTGCAGTTTGGAGGAGCATCTTGACTGTAGTATCAGCACACCTCTGGCAAGACAGTGATAAAGTGAATGATAAGGAAAGTGTTTCTTCTTTTTTGGATCACCCTACATCAGTGGGAGGCGGGTGTGATAAAAAAAATTTTAACCCATTTTCTTATCTAACACCCGTGCCCTACTTTAACCAAACTTTGGCATGATATTACTCATCCTTAGCCAAAATACCAGTTAAATTTCCACTCGCAAAATATTTTAAATACTTAATGAAAAACAATATATACTCAATATAATTTAGATATTCTCAACTTACATTCTGGGCTTGCGTACATCCCACAAAGAGACTCCTTCCCGGGAATTAGCAGTAACTACAAACATTGATTCTACTGGATGGAACTGCACAGCATGGAAGGCGTCATGGTAACGCGCTAAACACACAGGATCTGAGGAAAAATGTATGCTCACTGAGGCTCTTTATTAAGAAATTTCAGAATTTATACTGATATTCTGTGCTGTAAATCCAAAGAATAAAAATTAATAACATGAACTTGTTAATCATTCTAGATCTCAATGCATCTCAATGTAGTCTAGTGGGGTTCTCGTAGGAAAAAATAGATAAATGCAGTATAATGAGATCCCTTACAGATAACGTTTCACTCACACAGTGGGTCTTATTAAGTCACGAACAGATGTTTGCAATACATTGTCAACAAAGGATTGTATTATATTACATGCTCTAGCCTCTGAAAGTTACTATCATAATTCACAAAATTATAATATGATTGATGGTGCGAGATTCATCTACAACAACCTGCATTTGTGGTCACAGTGAGGCCCATGCTAACCTCCCTTTGGTGTACAGAAATATACCTAGTTAGATAAATTCTATCAGATTCAGCTGGTCCAGTGGTTAGCACACTGGCCTGCGAGTTTTCGGACTCGCTACCGTGGGTTCAAGCCCCAACCATTCTATTATTTATCTATGATTTATGTTCGATTCAGTCTGTTCAATAACTCCATGCAGATGAAAGACCCAATAAATATGGAATTCTCTATATGAAAATGCAGAGTTCCTTATATATGAGCTGTTGCAATATTGCTAAAACACTTTTTAAAAAAATGTCTTATGTAAATTTAATTTGAATGTTCATACAATATTGTCACTGCTATATATTCAACTACTCAGTACAACACATCTGTTAGACCTGATGTAAACTTAATTTAAATTATCTGTAAATGTCTAAAATATCCATCTTCTCCAAAACCAATTACCATTTCTGCTCGTACATTATTTTCACCACTATACATTTCTACCATCCGTCAAGATTACTCTCTTCTCATCAAGTATCAAATTAAGCTTGGCATTTAAACAGTGTAATTGTAACACTATAATATCAACTAGTGTTAAGTCCTAGTTTTAAGCAATTCGTTCATGTAAACTTTTATTATTAACTAGCATTAGGCCTAGTCTAAGTTTGCTCAAAATGCTGTGCATACTATGGGCTTTTCAAATTATTGCACTGTGTTTATATGTAACAGGTATTTTAAAAGTAAATCTTGAGCTGATCTGATTCGAGTTGAATTCAAAATTATACAAAGAGTAGGGTACTAAGATCAAGTCAAACTTCCCCTTTCAACTGTTGTCTGTGTCATGAAGTGCAAAACATCTGTACTCTATACCATAACTTTATCATGAAAGACTTTACTTTTCCTACTTTCCTTCTTTCTTACTATATTTGCTAATTTATTTGATTGAGCAATTATTTCTTATGGCTACTAAACACCTTTTATATCAAAAGGCACTTAGGACAGAAATCAAGTGATATTTGATGTTTCTATAATAATCTTGGTTGATTCATAAAAAAATGTCAAGCAAGAGTCCATACTAGTTACTACAGTACTATTAAGAACAATAAAATCAACACAACAAAATACAATATTAAAGTTTTTAATATCTTGCCACAAAGCATATCAAGTACCGAAACATGAAAATGTAATACCTCACAACATAATTACTCACTACCCTAATGAAATAAGTACAGTAATTGTAGTACCAGCAGTTTTAAAAAACAAGCCACCCTGGATGTACCTAATATGCATGACACAAACAACAAAGATTGTAACCAACCTTTCTTCTTTCTCCCCCTCTTTCTTGAACACACATGATGCATGGAAACAACCACTTGCAACCAAAAATAAGACAGTACAAATAAGCAAGTACATACTGTATATGAAATGTAAGATATATTTGAATGATCCATAAAAGCTAGAAAAATTTAATTACTATAGTACTAAAATGCCAACAATATAAGTTTAATAGAGTAAAGGACTACTTCTCGTGTGCCATATTTTCATCACATAGCTAAGACATAGTTAAAATCTCTCAAATGTCACATTTCCTATAAATGTTCTTGCACAATGGAGTATAGTTTACTAAAATTTCAATTTCACGCATTCTTCAAGGTTAAAAATAAACAAAGGACAATTATCCACTACCTATACAACAAGATGAATATTTTGAGAAGATTTTGGTACATTATACAAGTTTATGAAAAGGAAAACTCGAATAAATAAGATAAAATATTTCTATTAAAAATATATTACCTGAAGCAGCAGACTCCCTCATATCATAGAGGAGCACCTGTCCATCCTCGCCAGCACTAGCAAACACACAGTCATGAGTCGGGCTTACAGATACCCCATACACAGCCTCCCGGTGCAAGAACACATCCACAGTTTCACCCCTGAAAAATTTTACCATTTTAAACATAAAATAATTTACTGAAAGAGAAATCTTATCCAGTGTTATGCCTAACATTTTACTCATAAGACAATATGGTATATGTTGCATATTATTATTATTATTATTCTTTCTACAAACCGGCCGTATCCCACTGAGGCAGTGACCCAAAAAGAAACACGAGTTTTTCTTTTATTTTAACTTTAGTAATGTATACAGGAGAAAGGGTTACTAGGTCCTTGCTCCCGGCATTTTAGTCGCCTCTTACGACACGCATGGCTTACGGAGGAAAAACTATGTTCCACTTCCCCATGGAGATCAGAGGAAATAAAAAAGAACAAGAACTAGTAAGAAAATAGAAGAAAACCCAGAAGGGCGTATATATACATGCTTGTACATGCATGTGTAGTGTGACGTAAGTTTAAGAAGAAGTAGCAAGATGTACCTGAAATCTTGCATGTTTATGAGACAGAAAAAAGACACCAGCAATCCTACCATCATGTAAAACAATTACAGGCTTTCATTGTACACTCACTTGACAGGACGGGTAGTACCTCTCTGGGCGGTTGCTGTCTACCAACCTACTACCTAGGATTGCATATTATTATTATTATTTCAACAAACCAGCCACATCCCACCCAAGGCAGGGTGACCCAAAGAGAAAAACGGAAGTTTCTCTTTTTAACTTTAGTAATGTATACAGGAGAAAGGGCTACTATCCCTCTCTCCCGACATTTGAGTCACCTCTTATGACATGCATGGCTTACAGAGGAAGAATTCTGCTCCACTTCCCCATGGAGATCTAGTAAGAAAATAGAAGAAAACCCAGTGGGGTGTGTGTATATATGCTTGTACGTGCATGTGTAGTGTGACAAGTCTAAGTAGAAGGAGCAAGATGTACCTGAAATCATGCATGTTTATGAGACAGAAAAAAAACACCAGCAATCTTACCATCATGTAAAACAATTACAGGCATCCGTTTTACACTCATTTGGCAGGACGGTAGTACCTCTCTGGGCTCCTGCTGTTTACCAACATACTACCTAGGATTATTATTATTATTATTATTATTATAATTATTATTATCATTTTTTTCAGTATGCCGGCTGTCTCCCACCGAGGCAGGATGATCCAAAAAAAAAAAAAAAAATCACTTTCACCGTCATTCACACATAATCACTGTCTTTGCAGAGGTGCACAGATATGATAGTTCAGATGTCATTCAAAACAGCAAATATCCCAAACCCTTCCTTTAACCCTTTGACTGTTGCAAGCCCCTTTCTGAAACTGTTATTCTATGTCGCAAAATTTTTGGAAAAAAAAAAATTATTTTTTCTTATGGAACAATAGAAAATCTTTTCCCGGTGGCAATGACACCAAAAGTACGAAATTTGGTCGAAAACTCACGGAATTACGCTCCCGCGAAGTTAGCAGTCTCGGCGACATATACGCATCGGCGATTTCACCGACTTTGAGCCCTGTTTTTGGCCAGTTCCGTTGTTCTAGTTGACCAACTTATGGTTATTTCTTCAAAACTCCATTTTTCTTATCAGTCGAGTACAAGAAACTGCCCATTTACCAATTTGAACTACCCAATAAAGTGGTCAGAAATTGGCAATTTGGCCAATTTTGCGCAAAATAAAAAAGATGCCAATTTCAAAATAGGGTCCAGAATAAACAATGTAGACATTCTTGGCACTAAAATAGCATATCCTCTGTTCATTAGTCATGTCTCTAGGCCCCTCTTATATTACTATTGCTTTCTATTGTGATTTTTTATTCATACAAAAAATACAAAATTTACTGTCATGCAGACTACTGAATTATTGTAAAAATGGTATAAATAATATCAGTGCACTAGTGAAAGAATATCAGACTCCCAGTTGATGTGTATTGGACGTGTGGTGTGATATGCTTACTCTTGAACATTGGTAAAAATCGAACATTTCCGCTACTTTGACCTCAATTTCAAGGTCGTTTTCATGGAGAAAGTAATCAAAATCATCTCCATTTCTGTAACATGTTTTCCATTTTATCACGTGAGACCATGAAAACGAGAATACAATGATAAATACTATACGAAAATACACCTCAAATTCGGCATTTTAATCCAAAAAAACTGTCAGGTTTTTTTCTCATTATGCAATGCGTGCTGCAGGATTTTTTTTACGTGGTGCACACTGACCACACAGACCCATTCTCTCACATGTGGGCCTACCAGCTTTCTCCTGCTTGATTTGAAGCCGCTAGAATTTACGCATTTAAATATGTCCGAAACAGTGGCGCATAAGACGTATATATACGACCGAAACAGTCAAAGGGTTAAAGTGCAGGCACTGTATTATCATCATCATTATTATTATACTTCATGTAAAGTGTTGAGCTTGAGGATTATTAAGCAAATAAAATAATGTACTACATTATTTTATTTGCTTACTGTACTACCTAACGTATTCAATTAACAGAAACCATGGGAAAATTACATAGATGACCTGTCATCCATGAGGAACTTTTGGCATTTTGTTCTTACTAGGAACTACTTGTCTTTCATATCCTAATGAAGATTCTTGCTCCAAACATTTAAGAAGGCTTCAAGAAATAAAATGTTTCCCTTCTTTTAAGGAATTCCAGATGTTTTAGTTCATGACCACATGAAGCAAATATCATCTGCTTGCATTGAGAGAAAAATGAATGCATGAAAATTATAAAATTCCCTCAAGAACCTATTTGCAAAAAAAAAAAAAAAAAAAAAAAAGGTAATGAAACAAGAAACAACAAAAGCACAAATTAAGAAAAAACAGAAAGGGAAGACAGCAGTCACTAAAATGCCAGAGAACTGTGAATGTTGATAACAAGGTGCAAATAATATACTGAAAGAGAAATCTTATCCAGAATTACACCTAACTTGTTTCTTATAAGACAATATGGTATATACTGCATATTATTATATTATTAGTACTATTATTAGTGATGAATGGTTTGAAAAACCGACAAGTTGAAGATTGAGACACTTATGCAGCATATGGGAATCTTTATTCAGGAAACGTTTCGCCACACAGTGGCTTCATCAGTCCAATACAAAGAGGAAGGCGTAAGGAGAGGAGGAGTATGAGGTAATCAGTCCCTCAGCCTGGAGTCGATGTGTTCAGTCCATCAATCTTGTAGAATGTACAGCATAGGGCCGTAGACGTGGCTTATATACTGTAGTGAGGTGAGGTGAAGCAGGCGGAGGCGAGGTCATAGTGGTACCATCCACTAGTCGAAGTAGGTCTTCGTCCAAAGGTTGAACAAGTGTTGAAGAATAAAGATTCCCATATGCTGTACAAGTGTCTCAATCTTCAACTTTTCGGTTTTTCAAACCATTCATCACAACTGTCAGACACTGCAGCATCATGGGATCTTGTTACAAAGAATTCTTCAACACTTGTTCAACCTTTGGACGAAGACCTACTTCGACTAGTGGATGGTACCACTATGACCCCGCCTCAGCCTGCTTCACCTCACCTCACAACAGTACATAAGCCACGTCTACGGCCCTATGCTGTACATTCTACAAGATTGATGAACTGAACACATCGACTCCAGGCTGAGGGACTGATTACCTCATACTCCTCCTCTCCTTACGCCTTCCTCTTTGTATTGGACTGATGAAGCCACTGTGGCGAAACGTTTTCTGAATAAAGATTCCCATGTGCTGCATAAGTGTCTCAATCTTCAACTATTATTAGTGCTCCACCTACGGGGGTCATATAGTGCCTGGCAAATAAAGAGGCAATCAGATCTGATCTGAGGAAGGTGTGTGTGTGTAGCTCCAATTCCGTGGCTCAAGAGCTCCTCACTGGCATCAAAGTGCCATCTCGAAGGGTTGTTGCAATAAAAATGTTGCCAGAAAGAAAGAAAATAAGTATCACCCAAGACTAGCCAGCTGAGAATGAAGTCAAGCAATTAAAATGATGATGAATACACAATGTGAAAGAGACAACATTGTCAAATGCAATACGTTGAAATTCATAATATGTGTGAATTTATAAAAAGTGTCGGGGGTTCAGAAACAAACTCCACTGAGCTTATTATAAAAATTATTCTAAAGCCAGTTCTTTGTGCAGCATTACAAATAAATAAATAAATTAATAAAAAATACAGACAAAGACTGAGACAGAGGCAGACAGAGAGAGAGACATTCGTACATACATGTACACTAAAAATAAAGTTTTCTTACGTTTTTAAATCATGTACAATGACTTGCTCATCATTTCCAGCGGAGAAAATCTTAGCATTGCAGGAGTCAAAACTAAGGCAAAAAATGTTGCTGTTGTGTTCACCCTTCATTGTGCGAGGCCGATGATTACCTGACAGGGCCTTATCAACATTCCACAGAAGCACACGCCGGTCATCACCACCTGATGTAAAACACCCCAAGGCAAATCAATTAATAACACACTATAACCTCTCTACTGCACTGGGATGCTCAAAATCTACAAATATACTAAGTACATATCAAACTGAGAAAAAGAATGATAACAGCCATTACATATTAACTACAGGACATAGTTAATAAACAAAAATATTAAGTTTCTCAAAACAAAACATAGTATTGTAATGAAAAAGATAATTGTTTACACAGAACACACATACAGTAGACACTAGTTAAAGAACATGGGTGCAAAGAAGTACATGTGAAAGACATGTAGCTGAAGACCATATGATCTATACCAAGTCTATTACAAAAATGGACAAACCATAGTTTAGCTACCTCTGCTTCTGTCCAAACAGCTACCAGAATATCAGAGGGCTCTTTCCCTGCTGTCCTTCACTACCTCTGGCCACATTGTCAGCTTCAAAACTGATTTTAAGAAAAATGAACTATGTATTGATATCAAGTAAGAAAGCTGGTGGTAGAGTTTAAACTTTAAACTGCTATTGCTGCTGACTACCCAGGAAAACACTTTGCAAATACTGAACTCAGCTGTATGTAATATGAGGTGTGTGGGGGTTGACTCTGGTTACTAGAAAACTGACCTTCACTCCGGAACACCCTGGGTGACTAGTTAACTATGGACTACTCAAATCATAATGAGCTACTACAGTATTGTACTGTTCCATAAGTGATCTATGGTTAACCAGTCATACTGGGTGTCCATGAGCAAAGGTTAGGTTCCAGTGACCAAAGCCAACCCCGCACACCTGTACTGCATAGTCGGATAGATGCAAAGTGCTTTCCCAATAATCACTGATGCCTGAGGTTTGTATACTGGTTTGCCTGCAGCCAGAAGTAACAGCCTGGTTGATCAGGCCCCAATCCACCACAAGACCTGGTCATGGACAACACTGCAGTGGCATTGACACTCGGAACACCCTCCAGATATACTCCAGATATAGCAGACACAGGGGTGGAGCTATAAGGTCCACACTAAAGATGAATCTACAGAGCCCTGACCAACAGGAGGACCCCATAGTGCCCTGGCTCGCAGGACCCCACAGTGCCCCGGCCCACAGGAGGACCCCACAGTGCCCCGGCCCGCAGGACCCCACAGTGCCCCGGCCTGCAGGAGGATCCTACAGTGCCCTGGCCCGCAGGAGGACCCCACAGTGCCCCGGCCTGCAGGAGGACCCCACAGTGCCCCGGCCTGCAGGAGGACCCCACAGTGCCCCGGCCTGCAGGAGGACCCCACAGTGCCCCGGCCTGCAGGAGGACCCCACAGTGCCCCGGCCTGCAGGAGGACCCCACAGAGCTCCGGCCCGCAGGAGGACCCCACAGTACCCCGGCCTGCAGGACCCCACAGTGCCCTGGCCTGCAGGAGGACCCCACAGTGCCCTGGCCTGCAGGAGGACCCCACAGTGCCCTGGCCCACATGAGGACCCCATAGTGCCCTGACCAACAGGAGGATCCCACAGGGTGCTGACCCGCAGGAGGACCCCACAGTGCCCCATCCCACAGGACCCCACAGCATCCTGGCCCACAGGACCCCACAGTGCCCTGGCCCACAGGACCCCACAGTGCCCTGGCCCACAGGAGGATCCCACAGTGCCCTGGCCCACAGGAGGATCCCACAGTGCCCTGGCCAGCAGGAGGATCCCACAGTGCCTTGACCCGCAGGAGGACCCCACAGGGCCATGACCAGCAGGAGGACCCCACAGGGCCCTGACCAGCAGGAGGACCCCACAGGGCCCTGACCTGCAGGAGGACCCCACAGTGCCCCATCCCACAGGAGGACCCCACAGCGTCCTGGCCCACAGGACCCCACAGTGTCCTGGCCCACAGGACCCCACAGTGTCCTGGCCCACAGGAGGACCCCACAGTGCCCTGGCCCACAGGACCCCACAGTGCCCTGGCCCACAGGACCCCACAGTGCCCTGACCCACAGGAGGACCCCACAGGGCCCTGACCCACAGGAGGACCCCACAGGGCCCTGACCCACAGGACCCCACAGGGCCCTGACCCACAGGAGGACCCCACAGGGCCCTGACCCACAGGAGGACCCCACAGGGCCCTGACCCACAGGAGGACCCCACAGGGCCCTGACCCACAGGAGGACCCCACAGGACCCTGACCCACAGGAGGACCCCACAGGACCCTGACCCACAAGAGGACTCCACAGGTCCCTCACCCACAGGAGGACTCCACAGGTCCCTGACCCACAGGAGGACTCCACAGGTCCCTGACCCACAGGAGGACTCCACAGGGCCTTCACCCACAAGAGGACTCCACAGGGCCCTCACCCACAAGAGGACCTCACAGGGCCCTCACCCACAAGAGGACCTCACAGGGCCCTCACCCATAGGATGACCACCTAATCTAACCTGACCTGCTGGAGGACCCACAAGGCCCTGACCTACTGGAGGACCCACAAGGCCCTGACCTGCTGGAGGACCCACAAGGCCTTGACCTGCTGGAGGACCCACAAGGCCCTGACCTGCTGGAGGACCCACAAGGCCCTGACCTGCTGGAGGGCCCACAAGGCCCTGACCTGCTGGAGGACCCACAAGGCCCTGACCTGCTGGAGGACCCACAAGGCCCTGACCTGCTGGAGGACCCACAAGGCCCTGACCTGCTGGAGGACCCACAAGGCCCTGACCTGCTGGAGGACCCACAAGGCCCTGACCTGCTGGAGGACCCACAAGGCCCTGACCTGCTGGAGGACCCACAAGGCCCTGACCTGCTGGAGGACCCAAAAGGCCCTGGCCTGCTGGAGGACCCAAAGGCCCTGACCTGCTGGAGGGCCCACAAGGCCCTGACCTGCTGGAGGGCCCACAAGGCCCTGACCTGCTAGCTGACCCACAAGGCCCTGACCTACTGGCAGGCCCACAGGGCCCTGACCTGCTGGAGGTCCCAAAAGGCAGAGACCTGCTGGAGGACCCACAAGGCCCAGACCTGCTGGAGGACCCACAAGGCCCAGACCTGCTGGAGGACCCACAAGGCCTTGACTTGCAGAAGGCCCTATAATGCCCCAGGGACCAAGCAACGAAAGCCCCAAATGTGGGACCAAGTAACAAAGGCCCTGACCTGGAGACCAAGCAACAAGGCTGTGACCTGGGGACCAAGCAACAAGGCCCCGAGCTGGGGACCAACCAACAAGGTCCCGACCTAGGGACCAAGCAGCAAGGCCCCAACCAGGGGACCAAGCAGCAAGGCCCCGACCAGGGGACCAAGCAACAAGGCCACGACCTGGGGACCAAGCAACAAGGCCACGACCTGGGGACCAAGCAACAAGGCCACGACCTGGGGACCAAGCAACAAGGCCACAACCTGGGGACCAAGCAACAAAGCCATGACCTGGGGACCAAGCAACAAGGCCATGACCTGGGGACCAAGCAACACGCCATGACCTGGGGACCAAGCAACACGCCACGACCTGGGGACCAAGCAACAAGGCCACGACCTGGGGACCAAGCAACAAGGCCACGACCTGGGGACCAAGCAACAAGGCCACGACCTGGGGACCAAGCAACAAGGCCACGACCTGGGGACCAAGCAACAAGGCCCCGACCTGGGGACCAAGCAACAAGGCCACGGCCAGGGGACCAAGCAACAAGGCCACGACCAGGGGACCAAGCAACAAGGCCACGACCAGGGGACCAAGCAACAAGGCCACGACCTGGGGACCAAGCAACAAGGCCACGACCTGGGGACCAAGCAACAAGGCCCTAACCTGGGGACCAAGCAACAAGGCCACGACCAGGGGACCAAGCAACAAGGCCACGACCTGGGGACCAAGCAACAAGGCCATGACCTGGGGACCAAGCAACAAGGCCACGACCTCGGGACCAAGCAACAAGGCCACGACCTCGGGACCAAGAAACAAGGCCACGACCTCGGGACCAAGCAACAAGGCCATGACCTGGGGACCAAGCAACAAGGCCACAACCAAGGGGAGAGCCGGCGGGATGGAGGGGGTGTGGCTCTGGGCACAGCCCGGAGGGCGTGGCTCGGGGGACACCCCGGAGGGCGTGGCTCGGGGGACAGCCCGGAGGGCGTGGATCGGGGAACAGCCCGGAAGGCATGGCTTGAGGGACAGCCCAGAGGGAGCGACTCGGGGTAGAGCCCGGAGGGAGCGACTCGGGGTAGAGCCCGGAGGGAGCGACTCGGGGTAGAGCCCGGAGGGAGCGACTCGGGGTAGAGCCCGGAGGGAGCGACTCGGGATAGAGCCCGGAGGGAGCGACTCGGGGCAGAGCCCGGAGGGAGCGACTCGGGGTAGAGCCAGGAGGGAGCGACTCGGGGTAGAGCCCGGAGGGAGCGACTCGGGGTAGAGCCCGGAGGGAGCGACTCGGGGTAGAGCCCGGAGGGAGCGACTCGGGGTAGAGCCCGGAGGGAGCGACTCGGGGTAGAGCCCGGAGGGAGCGACTCGGGGTAGAGCCCGGAGGGAGCGACTCGGGGTAGAGCCCGGAGGGAGCGACTCGGGGTAGAGCCCGGAGGGAGCGGCTCAGGGTAGAGCCCAGAGGGAGCGACTCGGGGTAGAGCCCAGAGGGAGCGACTTGGGGTAGAGTCTGGAGGGAGCGTCTCAGGTTAGAACCCAGAGGGAGCGACTCGGGTTATAACCTGGAGGGACCAACTTGGGTTAGAGCCCGGAGGGAGCGACTCAGGGTAGAGCCCAGAGGGAGTGACTCAGGGTAGAGCCCGGAGGGAGCGACTCGGGGGACAGCCCAGAGGAAGTGACTCGGGGGACAGCCCGGAGGGAGCAACTCGGGGGACAGCCAGGAGGGAGCAACTCGGGGGACAGCCTGGAGGGAGCGACTCGGGGGACAGCCTGGAGGGAGTGACTCGGGGGACAGCCTGGAGGGAGCGACTAGGGGGACAGCCCGGAGGGAGCGACTCGGGGGACAGCCAGGAGGGAGCGACTCAGGGGACAGCCTGGAGGGAGCGACTCGGGGGACAGCCCGGAAGGAGTGACTCGGGGGACAGCCCGGAGGGAGCAACTCGGGGACAGCCCGGAGGGAGCGACTTGGGGGACAGCCCAGAGGGAGCGACTCGGGAGGACAGCCCAGAGGGAGCGACTCGGGGGACAGCCCGGAGGGAGTGACTCGGGGGACAGCTCAGAGGGAGCGACTTGGGGGACAGCCCAGAGGGAGTGACTCAGGGGACAGCCCGGAGGGAGTGATTCGAGGGACAGCCCGGAGGGAGTGATTCGAGGGACAGCCCGGAGGGAGTGACTTGGGGGACAGCCCAGAGGGAGTGACTCAGGGGACAGCCCGGAGGGAGTGATTCGAGGGACAGCCCGGAGGGAGTGATTCGAGGGACAGCCCGGAGGGAGTGACTCGGAGAGAGCCCAGAGGGCATGACTCTAGAAGAGCCAGGAAGGAATAACTTAGGCAGAGCCAAGAGACCACAACTTGACCAGTGCCAAGAGAGCATGAGATGGCCAGAGCTAAAAAGACATAATTCTCTTAAAGCTGTGAGGGAATGACTTTGGAACATACAGCCTATTTAAATCTTTCTAATGTTCAGTGGTATCATCTTCTGAATTTATTAGTCAGCCTATTTTTGTGTCATCAACAAATTTACTCGTTAGTTTTTATTCCTTCATCAAAGTCATTAATGTAGGCCACAGACAACAAGGAGACCCAAAACTGATTCTTGTGGCATGCCACCTGTGACTGGTCTCTGTGTAAATTTTATGCTACTTATTTGTCAACTATGACTAAATGAATGAAAGAATTTTTCTTCCTATACCATGTGCTGCCACTTTCTATAATGATCTCTATCAAAAACCTTACTTAAATTCAAGTATGTGACATATTCTTTAATATGATCTGCTGATCAGCAAATTTGCTAATCAAGAATACCCTTTGTGAATCAGTAATGACTTATTAATCAAATGCTCATCAAAGTGGATTCTAAATATATCCACTACCATTATTTCAAATAATTTTCACAATAACACTGCACAATTACTTACATGATCTTTTACACAAAGCCAAAATAAAAATCTAAAAAAAATTTTTGGTTACTACAATTTTCACAATTTTACATGAAGTGTAAATATTAAGAACTATACATTAAACCCATTTGGGTTATGTTATGCTGTAGAATTAGCTAACAGATTCTGCTGATCCTAAGCTATATTTGATGCAGTTATTTAGTGAATTAATCTTGTACTGCACTGTATAAATATAAAACCTGAAAAGACTGATATTTTTTTAAAATGTTACATTTAATACTCACAAGATGAAGATTAGTGTACAAACATAACAGTATATCATGCTGCAATATTTTCTCATAATTAATTAACAATAAAATAAATATTTCAAACTTACCAGATACCAGTAGATCTCCTTCTTTGGAAAACTCTATAGCATTGACACAGCCATAGTGGGCATAGAGGTCCTTGCGGTAGAGATTCTTTGAAGTATCAAGTCTCCTTGAAAGAAACGATGAAGACGCTACTGAAGGACCCCAATCCGGTCTTGCAGAATGATATGCTCTCCATTCCAAATAGCGAAGGGAGCACCCCGATAGCTCATTAATTTTTCCTGATGTCCTCATCTTCACTAATGCAGTCTATAATCACATATACAAATATATAAAACTACCATCGCGACAACCGCTCACTGTACATAGTTACTTTCATAGGCCTACCCATGCTAGAGCCCTAAGTTACTAGCGGTACAAATTAATACAAAACTAACTTCACAGGTAGAAACATCTATATATACAACCTTGACAGGGCAATGGCCTTCAGGTTGGTGAAGCCTGTGGGAGGAGGAAGGTGGCAGGCGAGAAGAATGAGAGGAAACATGAAGGTGGAAACTGTCAAGTCTCAGCTGCTGCTCCACCTGATCTTTGTTTATGTTGGTGCCTCCACAGGCAGGGCCGCCTCCAAGGCCAACACTCTCTACACCAGTTTTACCCTCACATCTGCACCCAACGTTAACCAGTCACTCGCAGCCGGGCTCCGCTGTCTCTCTCCTGCCAGGGGCATGGTGGAGAGTGTTGAGAGAGCGTTACTAGGGTAGTTAGAGTGGAAAACGTGTGCTGGTGAGAGTCAGCTGACGAGGTGGGCCTCCTCCATTCCGCTCCACGCCTGCTGCTTCCCTTCCACTACACATAATACAATACCTAAGCATTTTTAGCCTTGTCTTTAATTTTGTCCTGGAAACCTGACACAAACCTATGTTTTTTTCATAAATTGTGCGAAGAAACATCAGCAACGCGCTCGAGAGGGGATATATATTTGTATAAATCCAAGGGGGGTTGAAATTGATTGTTGATATTGCTAGTGCATCTGTAGTGGAAGGGTGAGATTAGCTCGCTGCCGCTGGCCTGTATTATTACCTAGCTGGGCACCACTCCATGATCGGGGTCAGGGAGCCGCATAATGCCCTCTCTCAATATTTTTAATAAGCATAAATGTCCTTAAGAAAGGCTCCTTGAGGCTGGTGGAGGGCTCTTGATCTAAGGAATTGGACCTGTGCTCCTATTCCTTAAATCAAGTCTGAATGTCTTCCATTCTCCCGGCATTGCATGATCCTTACGGGTTGACTGCTCCCCCATGAATATATTAATAATAATAATAATATACACAAATATTGCAGATATTGAAAATCTGTGTATCATTCATTATCAATCACGTTTTATAGCCTGGGCTACAGAGATGCAATCACCAGCATATATTATAACTACAGTACGGTATAAATTGTTGCACCTTCAAGGAGTATCATATGCTAATGGCTCTTGCTTCAAGGAATCTGAGTTACCCTCATTATCATAATAATAATGAGGGAAGCGCTAATTAATGTGTAAATGTTATACAGCCCCTGGGTAATCAGGGTATTTTTCCGTGATGTAACTAGGGTGGGGTCTGATAAAGACCCATTATGATTTCTGTAATCTTGTTTTATTATTTTATTATTATAGTGCATGGGGGACACTATAAACTAGCAGCTTAGGCGGTACACCTAAGTTAAGGTTTGATCCAAGGAAGGAGAAGAAACTAATTTGACCTGACCTAACCTTCCCTGGATCGAATCTGATTGCCTCTCAGAACCCCAAGCACTATTACCCCCAACAGGTTTAGCGTGCCCCCATAAATATAATAATTGGATCAAGAACTTTTCACCAGCATCAAGGCCCCCCATGAAGTTCTTTCTTATACTGAACCTCATTACCTCCAGTTCACATACTGAGGAACCTGGGATCGATTCCCGGACGAATGGAAATCTTACAAGAAAAGATAAATGACACTTCCCTACCCGGGGCGCCAATGCCGGGTCACCAAATTGGAAGAGACCCGGGGCCGGGATCCATACCGGCAAATGAAACAGAGTAGAATGGAAATCTTAGCTGATTCTCGTGGATTGTATCCTAAGGAAGAGGATAATAAAACTCCAGTGGAAATAAACCAGACAATCTGATGACATGGCTTTATTGGGTTATCCTGGGTTACTAACCTTCTGCGTTAATAATCCCAATAAAATTATCAATATGGCTTCATTTCTTCCTTACTAATATAATTATCACTAGCTTCTGTTATATTCACGAAGAAACTACTCACAATTGTATGTATGTCTTTTATTATGTGAATTCGATTTATAATGCCAAATTTTAAGGTCTTAGTTTAAGAACCGGGGTGGGTTGCATAATAAGAATATTTACTAGACAGCTTATGTTTTTATTAAATAAATATCATTAGATAAGCCTCCACACAGCATAATCACAGCGATACAAGAGAGGAACGTTGTGTTATTAAGATTACACGAGTGAAAAATAATGCACAAGTTGTATAATAATGTTTTTTTACATCAGATATTCCACATACTGCGGATACTTTTTTTTTTTATCCATTTGAAATATTACAAGCAGGTCTGCAGTATCCTTACACAATAGAGCGAGAAACTAATGTGAAGGACCTGGCATTGATAATGTCAGAGCATCTGACTTTCAAAGATCACAACAATGTTTTTTCACGTCTACTAAGAAAATGAAAGGATGGATAATGAAAACCTTCAAAACTAGGGATGCCAAGCCCATGGTGGTTCTCTTCAAATCGCTTGTTCTCTCCAGGTTGGAATATTGCTGTACACTAACGGCCCCTTTCAAGGCGAATGAAATTGCAGACCTGGAGAATGTACAGAGAACTTTCACGGCACATATAAATACGATAAAGCACCTAAACTACTGGGAACAGTTGCATTCTTTTGATTTGTATTCTTTGAAATGCAGGCGAGAAAGATACATGATAATATACACTTGGAAAATCCTAGAGGGACTAGTCCCAAATTTGCACACGAAAATCACTCCCTACAAGAGCAAAATACTGGGCAGGAGATGCAACATTTCCCTCACCGAGCCCAAGACTGTTTAACTGCCTCCCAGCATACATAAAAGGAATTACCAATAGACCCCTGGCTGCCTTCAACAAGGCGCTGGACAACCACCTAAAGTCAGTATCTGATCAGCCGGTTCGTACGTCGGTCTGCGTGTGGCCATCAGTAACAACATAAGAACATAAGAACGAAGGAACACTGCAGCAGGTCTACTGGCCCATGCGAGGCAGGTCCAAGTCTCCTATCGGCTTAAGCCAATGCATCCAACCTAGTCAGGTCAGGTCACCTTGACTTAAGGGAGGAACACGGCAACCGTCCTGGTAGCACAAGCTAATCAGGTCCAACTCACACCAACCCACACCCATTCATGTATTTATCCAACCTATTTTTAAAGCTACACAACGTTCTGGCCTCTATAACTGTACTTGGGAGTTTGTTCCACTCATCCACAACTCTATTACCAAACCAGTACTTTCCTATATCCTTCCTGAATCTGAATTTTTCTAACTTAAAACCATTGCTGCGAGCCCTGTCTAGGCTAGATATTTTCAGCACACTATTTACATCCCCTTTATTTATTCCTGTCTTCCATTTATACACCTCAATCATATCCCCCTAATTCTACGTCTTTCTAGAGAGTGCAGATTCAGGGCCCTTAGTCTATCCTCATAGGGAAGGTTTCTGATACATGGGATCAACTTTGTCATCCTCCTTTGTACATTTTCCAGAGCATTTATGTCCATTCTGTAATACGGTGACCAAAACTGTGCAGCATAATCTAAATGAGGCCTAACCAAGGATGTATAGAGTTGAAGAACAACCTGAGGACTCCTATTATTTATGCTTCTTGATATGAAGCCAAGGATTCTATTAGCTTTATTGCGAACACTTATGCACTGTTGTCTTGTTTTCAGATTACTGCTAACCAGAACTCCTAAATCTTTCGCAATCCGTAATATTAAGATCTACATTATTTAGTTTATATGTGGCATGGTTATTGTCCTGTCCAACATTTAGAACTTTGCATTTGTCTATATTAAACTGCATCTGCCACCTCTCCGACCACTGCATCAGTCTACTCAAATCTTCCTGGAGTGCTCTAATGTCCTCTTCAGAATGAATTCGACGGCCTATTTTGGTGTCATCGGCAAACTTGCTGATGTCGCTCTTTATGCCCTCATCTATGTCGTTTATGTATATTGTGAACAGCAGGGGGCCCAACACTGACCCCTGTGGAACACCGCTCGTGACGCTTCCCCACTCTGATTTCTCCCCATTTATGCAAACTCTCTGCTGCCTATTTGTCAACCATGCTTCTATCCAGGAAAAAAATTCTCCTCCTATTCCATGTGCCTTAATTTTCCTCGATAGTCTCTGATGTGGGACCCTGTCAAAAGCCTTACTGAAGGCCATATACACAATATCATATTCATTACCATGATCTACCTCCTCATACCTTAGTGAAAAAAGTTAATAAATTCGTAAGGCAGGAACGCCCCCTTGTAAAACCATGCTGAGATTCGTTGATTAATTTATGCTTTTCAAGGTGGCTACGAACTGCCTCGGCAATTATTGATTCTATAAATTTTCCCACTATGGAGGTTAGGCTTATTGGTCTATAGTTCGAAGGTAAGGACCTATCACCTGCTTTGAAAATAGGTATAACATTTGCCATTTTCCACTTATCTGGCACAATGCCAGTTTGTAGTGATATGTTGAAAAGATTAGCCAAAGGTTTGCTAAGCTCCTCTTTATATTCCTTTAGAACCCTTGCATACAGTTCATCAGGGCCTGGGGATTTGTTAGGTTTTAATTTATCTATTTGCCTAAGGACCATGTCACTTGTGACCCTAATCGTGCACAGTTTATTATCGTCCTGTTCCACATAATTTATCATTTCTGGAATATCGCTGGTATCCTCCTGTGTAAAAACTGAGAGGAAGTATGTGTTAAAACTTCTACACATTTCCTTATCCCTGTCAGTGAGCTGACCCGAGGAACTTTTGAGTGGGCCTATCTTGTCCCTGATCTTACTTCTGTATACCTGAAAGAATCCTTTTGGGTTAGTCTTCGAATCTCTTGCAACTTTAACCTTATAATCTCTTTTTGCTTTTCTAATTCCTTTTTTTATTTCTCTCTTTAACTGAATTTATCGATTTCTTAATTGCCCCTCTCCTCTTTTGAATTGCCTATATATGCCTATCTTTTGACCAATTAGATATTTTAATCTATTGTTCATCCATTTAGGATCATTTTTGTTTGATCTGATTTCCCTATTTGGAACATAATTTGACTGAGCAGCTAGAACTATGCCCTGGAAAGCGTCATATCGGCAACCATCACCACCTACCTGACCCTTAGTCAGGTCATTCCAGTTCAGCCCACCTAAGTAATTTTTCAGTCCTATGAAATCAGCCAAGCGGAAGTCAGGGACAGAGACTTGATTGCCATTATTAGGGGAATTCCATGATATATTAAAACTGAGTGATTTGTGATCACTTTCCCCAAGCTCATCATTAACCTCAAGATTATTAATTAGTGTTTCCCTACTGGCAAGAACCAAGTCAAGGAGGTTATTTCCCCTAGTTGGCTCTGTCACAAACTGTTTTAAAAAACAATCCTGGATCGTATCAAGAAAGTCACCTGACTCTAAATTTCCTGTCAAATTGCTCCAGTCAGTCTGTCTATAGTTGAAATCTCCCATTAGCACAACATTTTCGTATGTAGATGCCTTACGAATTTCGTCCCATAGAAGTTTACTGCACACCCTATCAAGATTTGGGACAC